ATGTCTTCTCCGCAACCTTCTTCCAGTAGATTCGGCAAATACACAACAATGGGGCAACGTAAGTCAGTGTGGGGAAAAAATGGAGCTTATGCACCCCATTCCTAAGGCACAGTTTGCCATTGTGTGCTTTATCACCCGGAAGTGTGTGTTCTGTATCAAGACGTCTTAAAATAAAATCTGGATACCTGATGAGGATTTTCAAATCATGGGAAGTGTGCGGGGATACACACATACTTACACACAAGCACGTAGAAAGATGCACATACACATAATCCCCCACATACACGTACACACACACACACACACACACACACACACACACACACACACACACACACACACACACACACACACACACACACACGCACACACACACACACACACACACACACACACACACATACACACATATGAACAAACAAAACTTAAACAAACACTAACAGTAATGATATTCAAATGCTCAAATTCACTGCCCAAACCTGTCATGATAAAATTACAAATTCGACATAGAACATAAAAAAGAGAGACACGGGGAAATCTGAAGGACAGGACACAGATACACTGAAACTTCCTGTGTCAAATAGATTATATATTACGTTCCAAAGTTCTCAGATATCCAGTCTGTATCTAAAGCTTTACCGGCTTATGTAGTGGCTTTAACAACGGCACACGCTGGATAAAATATCATGTTAATCACCTCTGATTTATTTTCTCACCCCAATTTCTTCATCTCTTCCCTTCCTCCCCTTGTATTTGTCTCTTCGTTTCTCGTATATCTCACTTCCTTTCTCGACCAATGGCTCAATTGAAGCTCACAGCCATTAGGAAACTATCGACCTGATCACAGTAGTTGATGAATACCTGACATCCGTTTTCTTCATAAGAGCACGTTTTCATTTCTCAAATCAACTTAAGCACAAATTACTTTTTTTCTACATTTATTCGCACTCAAACACCCTCACTTCATCGTACAGTGAGGGCAGAGAGCGTGTCTCAGAAGAAAAAGAAAACAAGTAACGAGGAAAAGAAAAAAGAGCACTAAGATACAGCAGAATATGACTCCGAGGAAAAGGGGAACTCGCCATCTCGCTGTCATGACATATGCACAGCCTGTCTTCATCTTTGTTTTTTTTTCATACTCACAATATTCCTCATAATTTCTCTCTTATTTTCTTCTCCCAGTCCCTTAAAACACAGTACATAATAGAGTAGTACATTTGTTTTATTCCGTTGCATTGTACAAATCAAATATGTATATATGTATATATATATATATATATATATATATATATATATATATATATATATATATATATATATATATATATATGTATGTATGTATATGTATATATGTATATATATATATATATATATATATATATATATATATATATATATATATATATATATATATATATATATATATATATTCATATTAAGAAAGATGTATGTGGTGTGTACTTTACTTTAATGTCTGGTGTAAAAAACAGCTTGTAGTAAGTAAACCTTGTGGTGTTTACGTGTGTAGTAAATCTGTCGGTGAGTACGACATATAAAATTCCTTTGCCATATCTAAAGTACTAGTTTCATATATGTGTGTAGAAGCTAGTAACTAGATGTACCATAGATGTTGGCTGAGCATGTACGCATGTTATAGGCAAAATTATCTGAAAAGAAGTAAGAAAAGAATGAAAAAAAAAAAAATAAAAGAAGGAAGATAAATGTGTATCCATATATAAATATGTCTATATATACATATATATGTATATATATATATATATATATATATATATATATATATATATATATATATATATGTATATATATACATATATATGTATATATATACACATATATGTATATATACATATATATGTATATATATGTATATGTATACATGTATGTATATACAATGTATATACAAACACACGCACAAATACACAAATACATACATACAACTCAAAGAGGCGGAAACGTGAAGATTCTCTTCACAGAATATTGTTATTTACGTCAAGGAGGCCATTAGCTGATTCTTCTTTAGGAATTGAAATGTATATACAAATAAGAGCCTGTACTCCTCCAACGAACGGCTACAAAATAAAACTACAATATCACTATCCTATATTTCAACATTATAAACCTCGAAAACTTCGTTGACTGCCAAAAACATCCCCAATTCAGATGATCTTTAATAAACAGGTTTGTGTACGCCATAGGAGAAAAAAGAAAAGAACACCCTTCCTTAAGAACATATAAAAGGCGATATGCGAAGTTGAGCCCAATAGAAAGAGCATTCTCAATGAACTCGTGTACCAGAAGCTCCATGAGCCGGAGAGACTGCAAGACGGAGAGACACTTGGCAGGGACCACGTGTACAGCATCAGCCCTGGAGGAAAGAGAGTCACACGGTCTTTTCATGGCAGGAGAAACACGGACGGGATGGATTTGTATTTCTTTTTTTTTTCTTTTTTTGGGGGGGAGGGGCGCTGGTGGTTTCGAAGCACGGATGGATGTTTTTTGTTTTTTTATGAAGGATGTTATTTTTCATTAATAAGGGCATTCCACTGCAAGGGATTGTGGAAACTTGAAAGCTCACTTGAAGATAAAAGAACAAAAAGAGAGAAAATATAATTCTTTGGTAGAAAAAAAGTGAAGAAAGAGAAGGAAACGATAAACCATCAGGCATCGCTTTCTATTTTCATACATTATGGTGTAACTATCGATTCCATAATAATACAATGCTACAAAGTTATCTCTAGAATGCCATCTTTTCTAAGTATGAAAATTGATATTAAGACGATTATCTAATTAAAAAATAATTTGACGAAATGCGAACGACAAATTACATATGGATTTTCGTCCAGTCTGAACGTACAAGAATCCAGTGGCCGTCATTGCAGAACCAAATACCGATATAATTTCAAAAAAATCATCAAGTTGCACGCCAAGAAAAACATAAATCTAATATAAAACAAACACAATCCAATCAAGCCAAGCAATCTAGACCCATTAATACAACACACCAAACCATTACCAATCAACCAATAACCCTAAGAAATACAGGAAAATATCTTACCCAGAAAACCACAGAAAAAAAGAAAAAAAGAAAAAAAAAGAAAGAAAGAAAGAAAGAAAAAAAAACAAGGAAAAACACCTTTTCAAAAATTGCTTTCAAGATGGATTCAGGAGAAAGGATTCTCTCCAAGGGCGCCTCGCTGGATTCAGAAGGTTTCTCCACTATCACACGCCAATCAAGGTTTCTCTGGTCGACCTACGGGAATGCCAAGGTCGGAGGGACGGTCAATAGCACACTTCCTGGAGCAGAAAAGCTGCATTGGCCTTCTTGTTTCTTCTTCTTCCTCCTCCTCTTCCTCGTCTTCTTCTTCTTCTTCGTCTTCTTTTTCTTTCTCTTTTTCTTTTTCTTTTCCTTTTTCTTTCTCTTTTTCCTTTTCTTTTTCTTTTTCTTCTTCTTCTTCTTCTCCTTCTTCTTCTTCTTCTTCTTCTTCTTCTTCTTCTTCTTCATCTTCTTTGCCCTCCTCTTATTATTATCATTCTGCCTCTTCCTTTTCCTCTCCTGTTTCTTTTTTATTTCTTTTCCTTTGTGTTGTGTTTTCTTTGTTCTTTTCTTCCTTATCTTCTTCTATTTCTTCTCTTTTTTATTCCTGTTCTTTCTCCTCTTCTTCTTGGAGACATTAGTAGAGAGAAGGATAAAAAGAAAAACAAAAAACCAAAATAAGAAGAGGAAGAAAAGAAAACAGGAGAAAAAAAAACTAGAATTAGAAGCAGAATAATGCATAGAAGGAGGAAGAAGAAGAAGAAGAAGCAAAAGGTGAACAGGAAGTGAGTGATAATTCCCGTATTATTGAATTGTTCCCCGAGATTGGAGGTAGTACTGCCAAGAGAAAAGGATAGAAATATTGAATAAAAGAAAAGAAGAAGAAAAAGAAGAAGAAGAAGAAGAAGAAAGAGAAAGAGAAAGAGAAAGAGAAAGAGAAAGAGAAAGAGAAAGAGAAAGAGAAAGAGAAAGAGAAGGAGAAGGAGAAGGAGATGGAGAAGAAGAAGAAGAAGAAGAAGAAGAAGAGGAAGAAGAAGAAAAAAAACAACAACATATAACGTAAATAAGTAAGAAGATGAATTAGTTGATAATAAAATGAAATAAAAATCTTGAGAGCTGAAAAAAGCAAGTAAAAGAAAGACAGCGATTTCATTCTGATTGCTTTCAAAAATCCGCTCAACCTTTACGTTGTTGCAAATTCAAGAAAATGATAACGCAAGCAATTGAAATCTGAATGTTATGGCACTGGTAACCTTTTTTTTGTACATAATTCAAGAGGTTCGTATTATAATGACCAAAGTATTATGTAATTATCTCTAATGGCGGTTGAAAAAAAGATCCTGTTAATATTTCTACAAAAATATATGACGATAGTGAAGGAGAGGATATGACAATAACAATAAGAAGGTATTAATAATAATATCACATATTACGAAATGAAACAAAAAGGAAATGAACTGAACGTGAAGAAAACGTAACAAAATGAAACAGCAGGACAAAATATATAACAACATATTTAAGCTTAAATGAGACAAGGCAGAGGGCATTTAAGCCGAAACGAACGGAATAAAAAAAGAAAACGTAAAAGATCGCAACAGAAATGGAAGAAAAATTAAACGCACCAGAATTAAGAATTGCAGAAAAGGACGAAGAAAAGGAGAAACGAGTAGCGAGACTAGTAAAAGCATTAACAGAACTGATGGTGATTATGATATTACGAATTACACAATTGGAAGGAGAACAGAAGAAAAATATGAAACTAATTGGAAGAAATTAGTAGCGAACATAACAACAATGACTCCACCTCCAATAAATAGACGAAGAAAGGAGTAGATGAGGAACAGACGAACAATTGTTATGTTGATTATGATATAGCAATTTATACGCTTGGAAGGTGAACAGAAGAGAACAGACAGAAGGAAACAGAACAGATTTAAAAAGACAC